GTAGCTGCCCCACTTTGGTGTCTCCGTGGAGAGGGGAGTTCAGGAGTCCCCTGTGTCGCCATCTTAGTTGACCCCTTCCCCACTGCAAATTTTTTATATTGAAATTCCATTGCCAATCCATTAGTTGTATTTTTCTAACATGTGAAACATGAAAGTTATGTACCATTTTCTCTTTTAGTATTTTCTAACGCTGCCCCGTACTGTGGTGCAATTCTAGACACATTTCACGGAATAAGTAACATTATATAATATTAAGGAGGCAGTGAGGAGTTTTCATAGCCATACTTAACCATACAGATATTTAGTTTTGTGATGAATAGTTAAGACAGGAAACATGAATATATTTGACTACACTTCAGTTTGGTGAGTACAAATAAATAACGAAATGGAGGCTGAAGGGAAAAAAAAAATTACTTCCGTGATTCAAGTATCAGCTGCGGCATCTAATTCCCTTAGAATCGAGGTCATATTTGCTTTATCACCTTGGAAGCCCCTCCCAAGATTTCTGCAGATTACCCTATGGTATATGTAGTCTCAAGATTAACTCAGGCTGCGTTCTGCATTTGTGCATGTTTCCATATTCCGCATTTTGTTAGGCTTGAAGTCAACTTGGCTCTTCCCTCGATTTTCTTAACAAATCAATTTGAAAATGTGCGTAAAAGTAGACTTGACTCAACTGAGGTGCAAGTTTACACCACGGCAACACAAACATTTCAAGTTGTGTGTTGGACAGTGCTCTGACCGTGTCTTTCAGCATCCTGTCCCCGGGGAAGCACCGACCCACTTCCCCTGACACAGTGGCCAGCATTACACCGTCATGCTGGCTCTTCTTTGCCCCCTGTACTCTTCCGCTTTTCCAGTACTGAAATTAGATTTAATTTTTTTGTTTATGCAAAAAAGTTTAACCCCAAGTTATTTCAAGCAAGAGTGGTTTTTTTTTTCCTAAAAGGAATTCTATGCTAGATAGTTAGAATAAAATTTTAACCACTTCCATACTTAGTTATCTGTTTGTTAATTCAACAGTCCTCCTGAGCAAACTGGCCGGTTAAGAAAATGAACTGTGCCAAGACTGTGGATCTAAAACAGTTTCAAGACAAAGAATCAACATGAACACTTCAAATAGTATCAGAGGAACATTACAGGTGTTAACATGTGTTATGATGAAAAAGAATAAAAATTAGAAAAGGTGACTAAAGCTTTGTGGAGTTATCAAAACCACTACAGAGACAGTTTAAAGCGTTACCTCATCCTTTTTTGCGCATCCCTTTTAGAGAAGGC